TATTTATAATTTTTATAATTTATTTATTAAAAAAAATAATTAAATTTTTTAAATGTTTAAGTATTTTAAATGAAAATATGTTTTTTTATAAGATAACATATATTAATATAATATATAATTATTATAATTTATTTAAAAAATAAGTAGTAACTAATGATAATTTTTATGGAATTAAATATTTTAAATAAAAAAAATGTTTCTTTATAAAATAATTATACTATCATACTATATTACTATTATTCGTGTATTTATAATTATTTTTGTAAATAAAAGTTATATTTTTAAGAAAAAATTGTCTTTAATATATATTATATAATTACCATACATAAAACTCAATTATTATACTTTATATAATTAATTAACAATTTATTTAAAATAAAAAATAATTTTTTTCAACTATCAAATTTTTATATAAAATTATGCACATATTTTTACAATAAAAGTAATTTTAAATTTATAATAGTCAGGTGCTCTCGCAGGAACCATATGCGATTTCATATCATTTCCTTTGGATACGCTTAAAACACGATTACAAAGCCAACATGGTTTCTTAAAATCTGGCGGTTTTAAACAATTGTACAAAGGTTTGGGGCCCGTAATGGTAGGATCCGCACCCTCGGGTAAAGATTAAGACAAAAATTTAAAATAAAAATTTATTTTACGACATTAATAAAAAATTATATTGATAAAATCATTTTTTACAGCTTCCTTATTTTTTTTAACTTATGAAAGTTTTAAAATAGTATTTGAACCTCAAATATCCGAACAATATCATTCAATTATACATATGATTGCCGCGTCAGTGGGAGAAATGGTAATTTATTATTTAACATTATGTATAATAATCGTATTATAATTCGAAAAGTATATTATAATAAATATTATTGTATCATCTTGTTAATAAATGTGCAATCTTTTCTTTTTTACTTTTTATTTATAAATATCTAAACGATAGCTTTGTATTATTTAAAAATTTTGAGATATTACTAATAGGTTGCATGTCTTATTCGAGTCCCAGTAGAAGTAGTGAAACAGAGAAGACAAGCATTATTAACTGATCCGCATAAATTACCATTGAGAACTTTATATCGTGGCTATGGAAGTACTGTAATACGAGATTTACCATTCGGTTTAATTCAGATGCCACTTTGGGAGTATTTTAAGTTTCATTGGAAAAAGCATATGAAACGTGAATGCACGCCTCTAGAGGGTGCTCTTTGCGGATCGCTATCAGGTAAAAGGGAGATTGAAGAAAAAAAATTGATCAAATTACAATTTTCAAATTGATTAAATATAAAATATATTTAAAATTATAAAAATATTTATTTTTTATAGTTGCTATATCTGCAAGTATAACAACACCTTTAGATGTTGCAAAGACTAGAATAATGCTATCGAATATGGCGATAGGAAAAGATGAAATAAAAATATCTGTGATGTTAAAAAAAGTTTATTGCAATTATGGTTTTAGAGGGTACATAATGAATCTTTGTTAAGTTATTTTTTTTTATTATGCTACAAACAATAATCGATAAATATCTTTAGACTTTTTGCAGGCTTTCTACCAAGAGTCGGTGGTTTTACAATTAGCGGATTCATATTTTTTGGTGTGTACGAAAAAGTTAGAGAAATTTGCATTTCAAATTTACCACCATAATGTTACAAAAAATATGTTTATAAATACAAATCACAGTTAATATCTAATTAAATAATACTATTACATGATTAAAATAGAACAAGAAATGACAGAAGGTAATTTTATTTAAATTAATAATTATTTTATTATAATTGCATTAATCCTTCATCATATATTTATGATATATTACATTAATAAATAAACTTTTGAATTTTTTTTAAATTACATTCATTATATATCTTTTATTACAGATTTCAAAAAAGTGAGTATTGGCATCATATTGAATTTTTCATATACTATGAAAATGGAAAGATAATAGTATTTTATATTGATATTACAGTTAATAGAAAAGCATATTTATGATAAGAATTTTGCCTTTGAATTGAAGTAATTAGAATTTAGAAATAATAATTTTCATTCTACAATATATTTAAATAAATATGGACATACATATTTGAAAAAACAAATAAGAAACACATCAAAGGAAAATAAAATACAGAGTAAAATATAAAATATATTTAAAAATAATCTTCAAGGGCAAGAATTTTCTTACATTTACATTCAATAATATATCAAGTTACAGTATACCGCATCAATTTACATTTGTGATATTCACTTGTATAAAATAATATAAAATATGATAAATATATAAGAAAATTGTGATAATTTTTAATACTGATTTTGATATTTTCAATGACAACAATATGTTGCTTTAGTTGTGGACTCATTAGTTATTTCAATTGTCTCTTCAATTTTTTCTACATTATTTGGATCAGATACAAAGTCTTGTGCAATTTCATTAAATAATTCAGCTATAAAAATGACTTAATAAATATTAAATATTGTAATATTATTTTAACTATACTATAATTCCTTACCAACATTTTCTCCAGTTTTACTAGATGTAATAAAAAATTTAGCTTGAATTCCTGTAGCATATGCTTCTACAACACTAATATCAGGAGATGGAACTGCACCGTGCTCTAAGATATCATTTTTTGTAGCACAAATGTATATTTTACATCCTTCTTCAACACTTCTAAGTTCTCTTACCCAAAATTTTGCTCTTTGAAATGTATTTGATTTTGTGATATCATAACAAATAACAGCAGCTTTTGCACTGCGGTAATATATTCTACTCATAGCATCATATCTAAAAATATATTTTTTATGATAATTAATAATTTTATTAATTAATTTTGAATTTTTAAAAATTTCTTACTTTTCACTGCCTGCTGTGTCCCATATTCCCATGATAAGCCTTTTCCCATTGACTTGCATTTGCTTAGCTGCAAATGCAGCGCCTATAGTCTAAGGAAAGTGGAACTGGGTTAATTTGTTTTGTGATGCACCTCTTAGATGATTCTCAGTGCAAATCTTAATAACATTATTTTATAATATTCCTTCCAGTTCGCGGACTAAGAGAAACAAGACAACCTAAATCAGTATATTCCCTAAATCAATCCAATTTAAATTTTATAATTTGCAAATAATTTAAAATATTCTCTGTCCTTTAGATATTTGATGACAAATTTTTAATTTTTCATATTTTTATATATATTTTATATATTTTATATTGAATAATATCAATAAACAATTTCGAACTATGTCATTGTACAAAATTCTAAATTGCATAATTGCATATACTACTGATTATACTTACATTTTGATAAGATAGACTTTCGTTAAACCTTTCATTTACGAAACGTTCCACAAGACTTGTTTTTCCTACAGCTGCGTTACCCAATAAAACCACTTTTAAATCGACACGATTCATGCCTAAATAATGAAATTTATTCAATACAGCAATGCTATGAAATAAACGTTAGTCTTTTTTGTAACATTTAAAAAGGTTAGATTAATTAATGGCTTTCTTAAAATTATTGATAATTAATATTTGTAAGAGATAAAGTTTAAAACGATTATATTATTATTTAACATGAAAAATCTTGTCATCAAAAACTTTATCACACACAATTAATCATTCAAGAAAAATATTTCAATCACTTAATGTAAATAGGTAGCTAACAAATAGATTTAATATAAAAATTTATTATTCATTTTGCATTAATATGCGATACATAACCACAGATTAAATATAAGAATAGATTAATCATGCAATTTATTTTTATGATCTAAATTTTAGTTTTAGAGTCCCATTATCATTTTCGTGTCATTCATATTGTTACCAACAGAATCTGGTTATAAGTAGGATTCTGAACATTCATTCTGGCGGGAGTTATAAATGTTACATATTTTATATTGATAAATGTAGCGAATTAAATGCATAATACATATTTTAAAACAATAAAAAATTATAAAACAATTAATTATCTAAAATTATTTAGCGATAGCAGTAAGAAAGAAAAATTTAAGTTTGTGAAATTCCTCAAAATTTTTTTACAATAATTATTCTTAATTAATTAATATTAATTATTATATAATAATGGATAATATATATATAATTATATAATAAATAATGGATAAAGTTTCATATTGATACTGATTGCCATATAAAATTTTATTTAAAAAATTTATTGGTTTTCAAAATATTAATAAAGAATATATTTAAAAAATTTTAATATTATAATACACATTGAAATATGATGTATATAGATATTATAATATATTAAACGCTATATATTGTTTAATGTTAATATTAATAATGTTAACATATTTATATTCGTTATAGTAATTATCAAATATCAGATAATTAATCAATCTTGATGGTGAGCTACTTTTTTATTTACTAAATTTTCCTGTTTAACATTTTTAATCCTAATCTAACATTCAACACAAGATCATTTTTGTTTATGAAGTTTAACATAATAGCACACTTTATCATATCTGCAAATATTTTTATGTATTCTATTTTTTTTATATTTAATATTCCTAAAAATGAAAATATTAGTTTGAGTAATTTATTCAAGAGTGAAATAATAATAAATCTAAAAACTCAAATTTATAAAATGGCAATATTTGATATTTTTTTATCAAATATTTTTTATTTCTTAAAAATGAAGAGTTTTATAATTCAAAATTTGATTCTTGAAAATCCAACTTGATTTATTCTTATATGTAGTCTAATTATGATATAAAATAAATATATCATTCAATATATTTTTTATCCTTATATCTCTTCTGTATATATTGCATTCTTGACACAGCTAAATTTAAATGTGAAACACTGCTTAGTGCAGAATTTAAACAAATAAAAGTTTAATCCAATAAGAAAAAGAATAAAAAATTTTGAACCATTTTATCGAAAAACAATATTATTGAAGATTTATTTGAATATTTCTGTTTATAATTTTGTAAAACATTCTTAAAACATGAAATTAGTTATCTAAACAATTATCAAATATGAAGCAATATTTAAAAATATTTATAAATTATATAAATATTTATAAATTATTTTTATAATTTTTTATATGCATCTACAAAACATATTTAGTTCTTAATGCTATATGTATCACATTTATTTATCATTTAATTCTTTAATGTTTAATCATTATATATATAAATGATTTTTGAAGTATATATTATATTACTTATAAGGATTTTAATACATTAAGTAGTGTTCTAAAATAAGTATTAC